TATTAAAAAATTTAATTAATAGTATATAAATTAAAATTATCTTTTAATTCTTAAAGACTAACTAGGACTTATTAGGATTTTTACCAACCTAACAATAGGTAATGTAATAAAATGCATTACCGACACCAGATTGGAGAAATGATCTGACAATGGCTTATGGTTGACACCAATCCAAGTATCCCTATTAGTTGTAAATAATCAAAGAAAAAGAGAAAAAATAAATTGTTTTATCTTCTAAGGGGAGGATCAGAAATGATATCATTTTAAAGGGTCATAATGACGTTCCACAAATTATATATGTTAATAATATATTTCCTAAAATGGATGATGACAAGGGGGGGGGGGGTCAAAATTTCTAAAATTTTAATGACGTCATTCTGACCCTCCCCTAATCATAAGTAATTTCAGAAAAATTATAATTAAATTATTTCTATGCATAATTTCGACCAATAATAAATTAGTTTGGTTTTTAATTTTAAATTTCTGTCGATCTAAATCAATAAAAATTTAAATTTCAATTTTAAAATGGCAACTTACAACGAAATTAGAAAAAAGGCAGAAACAAACTATGAAGAAGCGAAAGGAGAGTTAAATAATTGGAAGGAAAAGTGGGGAATGAGGCTAGAAAATTTGAAAAGGAAGAAGGTGGAAGAAGAATATGAAGGTGAAAAGGGGGAACTGATCAAAGAAAAAGAGAAGTTGGAAGCGACAGAGGAAAGATGGGAGAAGATGGTGATGGAGTGCTATGAGAAATTAAGTAAATTTAACAGTGAAGGTCCCGTCACTGGTAAGTGTCTTCCACCTCTAAACGAGAAATTTGCAGTTATCGTTCGTAATAAAATATTGAATATTCCAGATGATAAACCACCGACAATGCGTCCTAGATTAATCAGAGGTATGTTATGATCGGTTTGAAGTGTTTATCTTTTGTGCTAAATCTAATCATGCCTCTCTTTCCAGTTCTCGATGGGGAACAGGTTCTGCAAATGTCGTGGCACGAAAAATCAGAAGGTAAGCCTTTCCTCAAAAGTTTGTTAGTTAATTACTATTATTTGTTAACATTATATCATAAAATAAAAAGCGATCCAAAAAGCTTTAAAAGAACCTCCCAAGATAATTGACAATGGAAGTTATACTCTAGGCGAATCAGATTTTATCAAATTTATTACTTCAGGTACTTTTGTGGATAAATCACTCTTTATAATGGAGTTTATGATCTATGGACAACGTGCCAATCTGATTACTCGCCCTCGTCGGTTCGGAAAAACGACTAATCTTTCGATGCTCCATACCTTTCTTTCATCGAGACCTCAAGATAGAGATGAGAGATTTTTATTGTTTACGGAGTTAAAAGTATCTCGATTTGACTGGTTTATGAAGTTGAACTTCGGAAAATGGCCTGTAATTCACATTAGCTTCAAAGTAAGCAAAACTGATGCAACCTATTTTACGTAAATAACTAACAAGACTTCCTTTTATTAGGATCTTATCAATAACTCCTGGCAATCAATGCATGGCTCATTAATGCGAAGAATTTCAGATCTATACACGGAACACCGATACATTCTCGATGATAAAGTTCTTGCAAAGAGTGATGAAAAATTTTTTAAAAAGATACTCGCTGGAACAACAAACGAGAGCAATTTGTGTTCTGCCCTTTCTTGCCTAGCACGTTTTCTTCATACTTACTTTCAAATGAAATCCATTATTCTAATCGACGAATACGATTGG